CTACTCCTGAATGCTTTGAAAGGCAGTAAAACGAGCTTTTGAATACAATTGTTAACTAGTACTAAGAAAAAACACCTAATTTAAAAATATAATTAGTTGTTTAGAACATCTCTTTTTTTTTAAATTCAAATATTCAGTCTTTTCTATGAATAAAAGAGTTCTTCGAAGAGATTATGCATCTAAAAATAACCGGAATTTGAGTAGGGAAAAAAAATGTAAAGGCTTAAGCCTTTTTCCCAGAAATTCATTATTTCCCATTATCTAGACCCGTCTTTCGAAAGCAAAAACTTTTAAATTCTCATATTTCACTAACACGTATTTTATTTGAGGACTTTAGTTAATTCCGGAAAAAGCGTGTTTTTCTTTTGTTTTCATAATAACACTTGTAATACAAGAGACAGGAAATAAACAAGTTTTCAAATTTATTAAATTTGAGAGCTCGTGTCAAATACGTGTGTATGTTTTTTGAAATATGATGAAAGTTTAGTTAGAATATTAAGCTTTACATGTTTACCAAGTGTATAATTTTTGAAATAAAAAAAAACTCGTATCAAAAATAATTTAATTTTCGTTTCTAGCCAAATAAAAAGGAATTAATTAACTTATGATTCCCATACGAAAATGTTCATGTTTTATTTTTGACTCTCATATTACAAATCAACATAGTTCAATAAATGCTAATTATTCATTTAAAAAAATGAAGACACATTTACAAATTCCAAGAACCATCCTGTTCTTGTAAACTTCTTAGGAAAGAAGTCAGTTTACGTTTAGGAAAAAAAAGAATTTATTAATCTAAAATTGAACAACATAAATTTTATTGATCCAAGGAAGTGTAAGAAATTGTTTTTTTAGATTTTTATGACTTTTACTAAAAATAACCCCAAGACATTTTTAAATGTCAGTATTAAATGTCAGAGAATAATTACTAAGAATTTTAAAAATGAATTTATTCTTAAATTGTGTGGATTGAATTTTTTCTTGAAACTTTTGAGATTAGAACATCTTTGAATCAATATTTTAGCTCTGTTTAAATCAACCATTTTTAATTCGTGGACGTAATATTAATCTGTAATGAAATTTCAAGATTTCTCCTCAACTCAGTTTTTCTTTTTTACTTTTTTTTTAATGCAATGGATTACATCTGAAAAAGAATAAAAATAATAAAAATTTCTGTAAAATTACGCTTTCTCCCTCCTCTAGTTCTTTAAACATGCCTTAAATATCTGGAAAAAAAATATTTAAATGAGTTTATTAAAACATAAATATTTTTCCTCAATAGTTATTATATATTTTAATTTTTTGAATTATATATATACTAAATAATATACTATATTATATTATCTAGTAAGCAATGGCTGAGTGGTTAGTGCATCGCGCTTCTACACCACAGGTCCGTTCAAGGTTCGAACTCCGGGCTGGACAAGGTCGACTCAGCCTTTCATCCCTTCGGTGGGTCAATAAATGAGTATCAAGTTTGCTTAAGAACTTAACACTGGGGGTTTCGTGTCAGATTGACCATTTGACCGGAACATTTGCTCTTGCACCTCAGGGCCCATGGTCGTGTATACTGAGTTGGACACAGTAGGCCTTAACCCTCATGGACTGTTGAGCCTCTGAGTTAAGTATATGATCTAATATGTTAAGTGATTAGTCGTTTATTATTATTTAATAAAATCAAAATAAAATATTAAACTATTTTTATAGCTTTTTTCAGTATTAAAACTGTGGAGGACCCAAAACACATGACTAGAAGAAAGCCAAACTTTAAAAAAAGTTTATTTTTAGTCAAAAAAGCATTAATGGTGACACTTTTTTTATAAATTATATGTTAGATACTCGTATATTTATTACTCGATATGTGGAATATAAATAGATAATATATGTATTATAAATATTTCTAAAGGTCTTTCCCTTTGGTGTAATAAAAAAAACTACGTTATTGAAAAAATACTTAACATTTTTTTTATTTTTCAATCATATTTTAAAGATCTCATAAGCAAATGTCAATGTAAATCGTTCCAGAAAATTCTATTTTTAGCTTCATACGTACAAAAAATGTCGAGAAAATAGATAACATTTTCTCTTATTTCGACTTTTTCTCATGCACTTCATTGTCAAAATCCAAGGCATCCTTTTTAAAAAAATTAGTAAAATAAGTGGGCCATTAAAGTAGAATTCTTAATAAGTGTTTCTGAGTTATCTCGAATAGTATGCAATAAATTAAGAACAATTTGGACAATGTGCAAGTGTGAAAATTTTAAGCTTGTTTTTTTAATGATAAAAATACTGTCGATGAATCTACACGTACAACTGTAACAACAGCAAAAAACAGTGAATATTCATGAATTGCATTAGTAAGTAAAAGAATTCAAAATTAAAGCTTGAATTCTAGAAATAGATAAGATATCTTGAAATAGCGAGGATAAAATTTAATAGAAAGATAAGAACGTCTGTATTCATTTGCATATTAAAATGAATTACCTACAATAGAGACGAAATGGAACTAAACGTCTTTTTTTTTTTTTGATGCGTAATGGTCTTTTTAAACTCAGAGCATTTTGGACGGTCTCATCGTACTATTTTAGTTGTATAAATATTTATTCTTCCTCTTGTGCCTTTTACTTGTGCTTATCGTCAACCACAAAAGTTTTATTTAAATAGCAAAATGCCATTGTCAACATGATATTGACATAATACGTTGTAAGGATAAGTTATGTAAAAAATGATAACAAAACAAAAGTTTATCTGCAAGAAGACATTTAGAATAGCTTGTGAGCAGATGTTTTAGCTGGTTCATTGCGAAACAATCGCGCTCATGTCGCCAGCGGGTTTTTGCTATTTTCTTTTCCAAAAAACAATGGTTTATTTAGACTGGCAAAGTAAACATTCCTACCAAAAAGTGAGCTTAAAGTGTAATTTGACGTTTTCATTTCGAAAAACCTTCAATATTGTTGAAATAATGGTACGATACTTACGTATGAATTATTCTCGACTGTATGAATTATCTCAACATAGATGTTGTGATTTGGTAAATCTAAAATCAAGATAATGAGATTGTTGAATAATGATTGAATCGGGCAGGAAAACTCAAAGATTTAAGAAAACATTTTCTTTTCTCATCAAAACTCTTTGATATGCATTGTTTTTCAAACTATTCAAAAGATTCAGAAATTACAAAACGACTTAAGTTTTCGTTTTTATACGCATCAGGAATAAGAGATCATCCTATCATGGAATGAAGTGCTTATAAATGACTAAAAAGGGGAAAAAATGCAGGTAATAGGGTATTCTGTTTAATTTAACTTTCAGAATATTTGGAAAACTATTATTTGAAGGATAACCAAGGTTTTTAATGTGGGAATATCACCACAGAGAGGGACAGAAACTCAAGAATCCTCAGATCGTCTTTTAACAACATTGAATGGGTTCTTACAAATGAAAATATTAATTCAAAAATTGAAAAGTGTATTAACACCATAACAATTCTTGCAATTAAAAGAAGCATTTATAGTTTTGTAGATTAATTTATATGTATATACTTGTGGAGTTTGAACAATACACGGGTACACAATATTAGTATAAAGATAGTTGTTCTGTTTTAAAAAAAATCTCATAATTAAAGTCTTTTTTTTCAATTCCTACTATTAGTTCACACTCTCCCTATATATATTTATTTATATATATACAGTCGACTTTCACTAATTCAAACCTTTGATAATACGAATCTCTCACTGATTCGAAGTATATGCTCTGCCCCTAGAAAAACTCTTGATATTTCGAACTAAAACTATACGTTTTGGTATACTCAGTATTTCGAAGTAAAATCTGTGACTGGCCAGACTACACAACATGCGATAATTCGAATTTATCTCATATAACTCTGGACAATTCGAATACTCACTATCATGTATAGTCCTGTAGCAAACAGATTGGAGCTTACATATTTTGTGTTGTATTGCCGCTGCATGTCTCTCCTGTTGCGTAGCCCCTTTGATGACCATCTATCTATCATCCCTTCTTTGTGTTTTCTGCTTTCTCAGGCAAAAATACCCTTTTATTGCTTTCGTTCTTCAAGTGGACAATAAGCCGGCCTTACCAGTTGTCAGCCACCCATATTTTTCGTTTAACACATGACCCTGCTACACATTTGTTCAGAAAAGATGGTCCAATATTGTGAAGAAGAGATGCGCGTAGGATTGTGTATTTTGCGTTGGAGTGACATGACGATTCATGACTCATCTGTGGGACTTACAGTATGTGGCACCAAATAGGGCAGGGGCCGGATTGGACCCTGCCTTGAAAAACCAATGGTGTTGGGGACAGTGTCTGAGGGAACGGTTTTATTTCCAATTAGGAATAGAAAAGATCTGGATGGGCGTGAAAGAGTCCTGTTGGAGAAGTTAAGAAAGACGGAGAGGAAAGTGAAAGGAGAGGAGCAATAGAGGAGAGTGATGAAAAAAGAAAACAAACTGGTCGAGAATATTTTGGCGGACTGATTAGGTGAGAAGAGCCTACTCAACGTCGTCACTATTAAGTATACCCCGTAGCTGAGTGTGAAACTTTGAATAGGCCTTGTGTTAATTTTAGATTCCAAATTTTAAATAAAAAAAAATATTTAAAGTAATTTTATACACACGTACAATTGTTAATTTATTACATTGTTTCAAATTTAAATATGTTAGAAAATTTTCTCTTCGTGCATTTTGAGGGAGTTTTTTCTACCCTCTTGATAATTCGAAGTTTTTCATTGATCCCTCCAACTTCGAATTTTCGAGAGTCGACTGTATATATGTCTTGTTCAAATTTTTAATCGTTAATAAAATACTTTTTATTCATCCACTCAAATCCAAATACATTTTTTAAAACTTGTAGAGAATAACACTTGATGTTAATACAGTTTTTTCAAATATTAATTCATTAATTTTTTTAATTAATGAACAATTAGTAACAAAAGTAATAGTTCAACACAATACATAAAAAGGAGAATCGCTCGTTGTGTCCCTGTCGTGCAATGGTTAGCGCATTGAACTTCTAATTCAGAAGTCGTGGGTTCAAATCCCACCTGGGATGGCCAATTTCGGAAAATGTTACTTTTTTTTTACTATACTGTATTTTATTGGAATAATTCAATTTAATTGATGAATAAATAGTAACAAACAAAAAAAATAATAGTCCAACACCATGTATAGGAAAGTAAATGGAAAATCGTTTTCTATTTTGCCACTTAATATTATGATTCTGTCATGTATATACATACTAACATTAATTGTAATTATTTAATAAAAAGTAACTAAAAATTTTTTTTCTTTGTTGGCATAAGTAGGAATTGACTTTAGAATTTTTTTCTTGTATTACTTGTTTTTCTTTACTTGAAGAATAGAGAAAATATTGAAAACCATCAAAAACCATCGAACAAATAAACAGTGAATAAAATAATGCATTTTGTTAAGCCTAGGATACGAGATATTCAACTATAGGAGATACCGAAGTGGGGGGGGGGGGGAGTATCATAATTTCAAACCAGAATCGCACACGCAATAATCAATAAAAGCAGACTGATAATTTGTAATGATCGCAAGCTCAGTATACTTAAATGCAAAAGACAGTCAGAAAGACAGTATATTAAATTCTATTTTAGAACTTTTATTTTGATTCCGTGTTGAAAAGTTTTAATAATTACTCTACTGTGTTTCGGTGCAATGTGCAGTTGATCCCATATTGCTTGATCATCTATTACAGATTTCTAAGACAAAGATGAGGATCCTCTAAAGTTGAGAGACTTCATTAGGTAAACGCTAATTCATTGAATTCATATAATTCACTTCATATTGAACGATAAATAGCAGAAATTATCTTGGGAATTAAGGATAGTAGTTATTTCTTTTTTTAAAAAAACGCAATAGAAAACAAACCTCTAAGTAGAACTGCAAAAATCGTTCAGCAGAATTAGTGCAAATCTTTGAGAAGTGATGATCTCACATTAAAAAATTGTCATTATTACACGAATAAGATCTACGTTTCTTTATTCTGGAAAGGAAGATAACCTAAAATATATTTTCAGATAATGCCAGTTTTTGAAAACAAACTAACCATCAAAAGTCTGAAATTACAAAGATATTCCCTACAACACGATATTTTCATTTACTTTTTTATTCATTTTACGCTAAATATGCCAAAAATTCATACTATAACATATATTATAGCTATTCTCCATTGCTAGAAGAGCTATCATTGATCCTGAGTTAAATAATTCTAAAGAATTCCACAATTAGCTATATAAATGGATCTCTCTTTCTCCCAATGGCAAATTCGTTCTAGAAACTTATTCCTAACGCAAAACACTCGTTAAGCAGAACAATTTTTCCAATCTAAATTAATGTAAAATACAATATATTCCTTGCCAAAAATATACAACAAAGTTTTATGTATACTGTTAATTAAAAAAATTATGTGTGCATTGATACGGAAGGGGAAAAATCTCTATTGCTGGTTGATGTGATCCTGGCATCTTCTCAACGATGTAAGTTGAAATTATAAATGATGTTCTTCTACAGTGACGCTTTGCAATTGTTTTTCTTTATTCGTAAAGGCAATCTTTCAACACATTATCATGGTAGCCAAGTGGTCAAGGTAATGGACTTGTGACTGACTTGTTATGAGTTCGAGTCTTGTGCCGCTGGATTCCTAATTTCCTTACATAAAATGTAATAAAGTTAACATCAATGTGTGTGTGAAAAGTTACACACACACTGGATGCCTTATTGAAGCTGGACACTCTCATAGTAGTCGCAATCGGTTTTTCCAGGGACGTTTTAAGGCATGGGTCAACTGGGCCCAGGGACTTGGCCATAATGTTGGCCTCGACTTGGACTTAATTAGGTCATGATTCGAATAATTTCAACGTTTAAATGTTTTTTTCGGTTGTATTACTATATTATACTTAGGTTATTTTTTACGTGAGAAGAGTGGTTCTGCGTTTGAGTTTTACAGCTTAACGTTAGACAAAAATAACCTGAACACTTTCACTACACTGATCAGAGCGTAAAATCAACAGACAAATCCTGGGCTAATATTCAAGACACTAAGAAAAAGTTTTGTCGAAAACCACGTAAAGGGGCTGTGGCAAACTTCTAACTGCAAACAGGCTATGATTGCATGGCTCATGATCTTAATAAAATAAGCATCATTCCATCTAGTATGTGCCAAATTTGTAATTCGGCATCATGAAGGCAGAGCATCTTTTTATATGCTCAGAACAAGATAAAGAGTCTCAAAAACATGGTGAGATATGCAAACTATACTGAAACATCAGAACTTTCATAAACTCCTTGTAAAGACTACATCTCTTATGTTTTTGTTGTTTAAATTTTTAGCTTTTTCTTTTGTTCCCGTGTTCATTTATCCTGGTTCTTACTTAAAATGTGTGTTCTTTTTTACTACTTTTTCATTGTTCTAGCGTGATACTTGAGCTGTTTTATATGTTTGGATTGGTCCTTCCAATAAAACCATAAGTAACAACAACTTTTATTACACTGCTTAAATTTTGTTCTTAGCGTTAAAATAATATTGTCTACTTTTTTATTATTTTAATCATCGATTTAATGATTGCATTTTTTCACTTTTAAATGTGACATTATTCAAAGAGAAATATTTGTAAACAAGTATCTCGTGTTTAAAATTTTTTTCAGATTTCTAGAACATATAATTTAAAGATATATTTCCAACATTCTGAAATTTCCACGATCGCAATTAAAGTGACTCAGAAATATGCTGATTTTAAATTATTAACTCCCTTCGTTAATATGTATGCTTCTCTATTAAAAGAAAAATTGTGCGTGATCAATTTTATTTGAAATATCGAAGGGAAAAAAATTTTCAGCGTTGCCAACTATCTCACATGAAAGTACTCAAATGATAATCGAAGGTCGTAAGCTAAGAGCTCCGATATCAAATAAATAAATAGTATAAAACAAAATCCTATCATTTATAACGATAAATCATGAGCCTCTAGTACACGTTAAGAGCGTATAACATTCTATTACATTCAGACTAACCAAAGGCATTAATCAAGATGAATTATACTCATCATTTTTTGTACTTGCTAGAAAAGAGGATATTAATCGTGAAGTTGTTCTATATAATCCAAAAGCTTTCTAATAGGCGGTGTATGATTTACATAAACTTGATTTTTTTGTGATATCTTTGTAAAGAAAGAAATAAGAAAAAATGTCCTTTTGATTTATTATTATTGAGCTTATCTATACTTCGCTTGGACATCAAAAGCAAAAATGAGTAAATAAGCTTTGCAATCGATTTCACATTGAGTTTAGGACGCCTTTTCTATTGTGATTTTTATATTGATTTCTTTCAGTAGACTTGTAACAATAAGAAAGGTCATTGACTCTTTCGTAGAAGGAAAATTTCTATTAAACTATGCAGAAAAAATTTTAAAATTTCTAAATTATACTTTTCAGAAATGGTTTTTGAAAGCTATGTTTACTTAAGCAACTAAAGGCATGTTCAATCAGAATTATTTGTTGATTTTGAAAGATTCTGATGCTTTCAATGGTAATTTTAAGAAAGGTAAGCGATACTGTTTTGAGAAAACAATGATAATTTTTATTAAAAATATTCTATTTTTTCGTTTCCTCTGTGAATATTTTGTTTCGCCTATATTTATGTCTGCTTTCAATAGCAAAGGATAATATTTGTTGAAATTTAATACCATTCATAGAAGTTAGTAATTAAAGGTTAAAAGTAATAAGTATTGAAGCATTGCTTATAGTTATATTCATTCATTTGGTGGATTTCAATAGCTTATTTCTTAATTGTTATTTTTTTTTAATTTTAAAAAGTCACGATGTTGCATCAATAAATGTTCCAGTAAATTTTTAAAAATAGATTTAATTTAACTAATTATTTTTTAAATAAAAAGGAACTACAAATTTGATGAGAATAATTTTATTTGATATGGGTAAAATAATTTCCCGTAGACTTTTTATTCGGGAATTTATAAAAATTTCACACCAATTCAGTTATTAATATACTTTATTTTAATTAATAATGAATAATTAATGAAACAGACATAGAAATATATTTTGAATAAAGTATTCTAAGCATAAAAAGCTTTCCTTTTAAAATTGAAATTTTAAAAAATTCTCAAGAAATAATGCAGTTTTTTTTTTCTTTAGAAAAATTGAAGAATTTTTTAGAAAACTAAGACTTTTGTGAACCTTTTTTTAACATTTTTATTTTTAAGAAAATCAAAGAAATTAAACATATTTAAAAATTGTCCCTTTGTTAACACTTTCTTGATACTATGCAAGTTTTGAAAAAGATAACTATGGTATGACATAATTTATATCTCAATTAAATAATGGTTTATAAGACTCTATAAACATCACCATCAGATTTTATTACGCACAATTCTTATTAATCCATATTTATATTAAGGATTATTCGATAAAATTTAATAAACTATCTCTTAAACAAAGAAACGCAGTAAAAAGTTTAATGATAATTTATTGGTAAACGTATCACGGGAACAATTTATCAGAGCATGAGAAAAGAAATTTCGGGCTACGTAATAGAGAACAAATAAAATTCTAGATTCTCATTCTATATTTTTTAAATGAATTTAACTTTATGGATCTCGAGTTTTATTTACATCTTATTTCGGTAATTTGTGCAACTATAAATTTAGGCAACAAGTGTCTAATTATTCTGCCTAGTGGCTTACGCAAATGAGGGGTTTGGGGTTCAAACCACCCCAAAAGACCAAAAGATTTTTAACTTTTACCACAGAGATTAATTACCACTTCGGCGTTTTCATCAATGTGTATTTAAAATGTACCCCCACCCCTGCATGAGAGAAGTCTGTGTACGCTACTTATTCTCGCCTTAAAAAATACGTTTTAAGTAAAGTAGAATTAGGTTTCAATGAACTTTAAAGAAATCTACAAAAAAAAAGAAAAATAATAATATTGATATATTTCTATAAATTTTTGCTTATTTGATTGTAAAACGTCTTGTATTAATAGTGAGTTATTTATAATAGTGCTTAGTACTGT